GTCTTTCCTCAGATATTTTTCTCAGCCTCGGGATTCCTTTCACTCTTGTCAATACCAGGGGCGGAGGGTCTAGAGACTAGAGCTCACCTAAATTTTAATCAAAATTTTAAAATAAATTTAATAACGTAACGTGAGATTTTACCTTACTTTTCGCGCAGGATTCACAATTGTTTCTCTGTCTTTCCTCAGATGTTTTTCTCTGCCTCGGGATTCCTTTCAGTCTTGTCAATACCAGGGGCGGAGGGTCTAGAGATTAGAGCTCACCTCAATGTGAAATGTCTCCTGGATATTTATTGTGTAGTGGTTAAAAAAAGTAAATTTTCTAAATATTTGTCCTATAATAATTTAAATAAAACAACAAACTATTATATCCAACGGTAAGATGAAAGCATAGTTATCAAAATCGTGTTTTAAAATCATAAAATCATAAGATTTTATGCATGAATTTTGAGTGAAATTTATGTTAAAATTGAATTTTTATAAAATCAGAGTATAAAATCGTAACATCGCAATTTTTTCGTTTGAAATCTCGATTTTACTTTCACAAAATTGAAGAAAAAACTTTCAAAAATTCAAACATAAATTTGATCTCTGATCTTCCTTACTTTAGATTTGCCGCAGGGGAGGGAGAGATTTTGAATTGCTACGGTGCCGTTGCTCACTGTTGCTGCTCAGTGCCACTGCTCATAGTAGGAGTTGGTTGCTGCTGCTCACTGCTCAAGCAAAGAAGGATAAGATCTATTGCCAAAAAAAAGGAGTGAAGAAGGATCTGAAAGCGAGCTTGAATGGAGAAAAATGGTAGAAAAGAGGGGAAAATGACGGACGACCAAACCAAGAAAGATGAAAGGAGGGAGGAGGGTACTCTTTTTAATGGGTAGTATATTGACACGTCACAAGGATTGATGTTTGTTTTTTGAGCAGTATTAGGGGCACTCGCCTCCTGCACTCTTCAGCCAACCCATGCTTTTTTATTGGGCCACATAAGCTTACTTAGCCCTGAAATGATGACCTCTCCGAAAACCAACATAACGTGCCCAATGAAAATGGAAGT